GTATATATAGATAACGCCTAAGCTTTATGGTGTAAATTAAAGTAGCACTTTAAAACCCCACTAGAAAATGCAATTTAATGTGTATTAGAAAACCATTAATTTGATATTATCGATCTTGCTAATTACAGTCTTGCAGAAAATGTGGATTTCAATTCTTAAAAATATAATATTTTTACAATACTTAGTGCTAATAGTCTTATTTCAAGTTTTTTTCTTCCAAATTTACATCATTTTTAGAGCTTCAAATGTAATAATCGGGAGGAAGAAATAATTCTTCATATTATGAGGACTTTAGTGCTAGAACTGCATTTTTCAATAAGATTTTCAAATGCAGCGTTACTTTTTTTAGCCTGAAGATTATGCCTTACTAATTGCATCAATCATGTAAGGAAAAAGTTTATATAATGGGAGGCCCTAAACAATCAAATCAATGCACACCTCAAAAATTCCACTAGAAAGAGGTTGTTTTGATGCCCAAAAATCCTCAAATTAATCATCTCAACCTCAAGATGCATAGATAAGAGAAAAAGTAGATTTCACGCATTGAAAATAGTGCATCTTGTAATGCATTTTCGAACGTTTCCAAGATTCTAAAGTGTTTGTAGATCTTCTCGATATACACTATTTTTTAAGTTTTAAATTTTATAATTAGAAATGAAAATAAATTTTCAGATCATCACAAATATTTCCAATAATGAACATCTTTCCACACTATTTGAAGGTGCGCCTTCCTGTGATTGATTAGGCAACCACACCCATCATGTGATCCACATTGTGATAAATTTTCCTTCTCTCTACTTGATAATATGTGATCCCTTGCTCCTAATGATACTAATTGTTGTTTTAGAAGTGCCATTGCTCCCTCTGGATCTTCTCCCATAAACGTTTTTTAAACCCTCTTGGAAATTATATATCATGATATCAATTCTTTACAACAACTATCTATTAGTCTTTTATTCTTTTTTACAAAAGGAAGGCACACAACCATTTGGTGATGGCAAATTTGGCCATTAGCACATTGACAAGCTCCAAGTGTACAAGGTAAAAATAAATACAATTTTAAACTACTGTGCAAAAATCTGGTCATCGATTTTATTTCATCAATTTTCACAATATTACAGTTGATTACGCCAAAATTTGCCTTGTCGAATTTAGGTACACAAAGAATAGGTAACGTTAAAAAAAGAAGAATCAATTGTCTAGCCCAAAAAAAATGAGTGGTTGGCCATAACCCTTTCTTCCTTGTAATGGGCCACCCATAATAACATTAAAGCCTCTTTGTTTTTGTTTTTTGTTTTTTGTCTTTTTTTTTTTTGTTTTTTTGTTTTTTTTTGGGATAGATTAGCAAGAAGAGTGTTTATTATATAAGATAAGACTGAAATTCAAAACGGTATATTGTGACACTCACCGCCCTAACAACCTATGCCGTAAATCACATGGGTTCATAGGCTCATCATAGGCTTTGGCTCTTGAGTTCACAATAGGCATAGGTTTTCATGAGTCTCACAGTTTCGAGTTTTCGTGACTGAAGTCTATTACTCCTTCTATGATGATTAGAATTAGGGTTTTAAATAGGGGTGGCAATGGACCCAAATCCGACCTGGAACCCGTGAGGTATACCCAATACGGGTTCAAGTACGGATCCAATATTTGAACCCGAATAGCCGAATACTATTCAGGTCTAAGTCTGGGTTCGGTTGGACCAAACCAGTATTTGTAAACTGTTGGAGATAAAATACTTCAAGTTTTATTCGTTTGGATGTATTAAGGATCAAATACAATAAGACTTTATAGTCATCATTAGCTATTAAATGACAAATCAAATGATTTGAAATCTAATGACGGGTGTTGTGACCCTGTTGCCAACAATATGGACATATGATGGTAAAATAAGGGCAAAAAAAGAAAAGAAAAGAAAAAGCTCCTAGTGAAGGTGGCAGCAGACCCGACCAAACCCGGGACCTGACGGGTACCGGTATGAGTCCAACTTCTGGACCTGATGGGTCTTGGTCCGGGTCTGACCCATTGCCACCC